CTTATCTGGACAAAATTCAGAAGTTATTTCCTTTTATAATATCCCTTATCCAAGGTTCCTCATTCTAGCCACTCCTGGGACTTCATTATGTGTTATGCACTGGCCCTGAGGTAACTTTGCCCAATTTTGAGAAAGACTTTGTATGCCAGAGAGTAATTTTTATGTCATTATAAAGAAGGTATCTAAAGCAATTGTTCCTGTATCTCAAGAAGAAAGAAAACCAAACATTTTCACTGCAATCACGTTGAACATCTAGAGAGCGATTGCATGGACTATTGTGGGGCTACTTAGCCCACTTGGAGTGAATACATACTTTTGAAGGTTCTCCTGCCAGCTGTGGTGGTACATACCTCTAATTCTAGCAGCTCAAAAGACTGAAATGGGAAGATTGTAGGTTCAAAGACAGCCTCAGCAACTTAGAGAGGTTGTGAGCAATCAACTGAGACCCTATCTCAAAATAAAAATTTAAAAAGGGCTGGGTAGACATGGCTCAGAGTTTAAACACCCTTGGGTTCAATCCCTGTTACCAAAAAGAAAGAAATAACAATCTAGAGAGATTGAGAAGTCAGTTTACATTCTAGGTTATGCATTTGCAGTGCTCATAAATATGCTGGGACTTCAGACCAGTTCTCTCTTTCTGGGCAAGATGTCTAGGGTGCCTACATATCACCCTGTGCCATGAGCCTGTCATCCTGAACTGTTGAGAAGAGCCAAAGTAACTTTCCAATGGTTTCCCTCTGGCCAGACCATTCATCTTCTGAAACCAGTGGTAGCCAGGTCTACAAATAGTTCCAGGCCATCCATCCAAGCTTGGCCTTGACCTAGACCAACCAGATTATGTCACCAAGCCAAACACATTTGTCTCTGTGGTCCAGGTTTCACCAATGCCACTCCCTTCACTGAGGCCATAGGGCGGGTCAGGAGACCAGCTCCCTGGTCCAGGCGCTGGGCTTGATCTCAGCAGCTTTGCCAACTGCCATGTGAACAGGCAGCTTATTCAGGTCATGGGAGCTGCCCTGGGGGTCAAGTCCAGGATCTGTGGGGACTGTGCACTTTTTATACCAGGTGTAGGGAGAGAGCCCTCCCCTGCCTGGCACACTAGTGTGGAGCTGGTTTGTGGATTTTCTTTATCAAATTTCTAATTCTTGAGTGTCTCCTGGGTAAGGGTGGAATGGTGTCATCTCAAGGGAAGAGTGGCTTTTCTGTGCTATGTCCCTCCGAGGGGACCTGTGATCGCATCACTGAAGATCTGCCAGACACTGTGCTGGTCTGCTCGGCTTGGACACCCTCCTTCTCTGGGGTTTGTAAGAAATGCAGGCCAACAAGTTCCCTGCCCTTTCCCACCACCAAGATGCACACCCCTGCTCTCACATGTGCCAGCTTCCTGGTGCCCCTAGGCCCTCCCTCAAAGCCTGTTCACCTCTCTCTTGCAGGAAGCTCAGCCATCCAGCCAGCACAGAGACCCACATTGCTGCCCATTGCTGCTAACTCCCTGGGAGCCACAGGGTTGCCACTGTGTGGCCAGTCCTCATGCCCACTTTGAGCTGGCCCCCTCTCCCCACTGCAGAACCTGGGATGGGCTACTTACCCTGCCCATAGCTGGCTCGCTTGCCCGTATACTGAGAGATCCTCCCATACAACAGGAAGCGGGGCACAGTGGCCACAGACAAGCAGGTCATCATGTAGCCAACAACCTGGATGCCCAGGACCCCAGGGAAACACAAGGTGCTGTCAGCAGTACCTGCAATCTCTGGTGCTCCAGTCCAAAGCTGTCCTGTGCTGCTGAGAACAACATGCCCTGTGACAGCAGGCACACTCCTTTGGCCTGAACCCTCTCTTCAGGCCCAGCACGGGAGAACAACATTTGTGTTTACAGGGAAATCCTCTTTGGGTTCAGAACTGAAGAGTGTGTAGACAGACTTGTGCATGGAGTCCTCCCTGTGAACTGTGCCCTGAGTTACCACCTGTGTATTGCTTGTCTCCATCACAAGATGCAGAAAGTACTGGAAGTCACAGATTGCATAGGTTCTACAGTGGTTGATGGCTACACAAGGCCAGACTGTGAATATAAGGTATGTTCCCAGGTTCAGCAGACACTGTAGATACATTGGGATGATGAGTAACATTATCACCTATTTAAAGTTTAATTCCACACTTAGTCTGTCAAAGCAAATATTGTAGCAGGGAAAGAAAATTAAACAGTTAAAGGAGACTTTATTCATTTATTTTTGAGGGTACCAAGGATTGAACTCAGGAGCACTCAACCACTGAGCCACATCCCCAACCCTATTTTGTATTTCATTTGGAGCACAGGTCTCACAGAATTGCTTAGCGCCTCCTCACTGCTGAGGCTGGTTTTGAACTCTCAATCCTCCTGCCTCAACCTCCTGAGCTGCTGGGATTACAGGAGGAAGGATATTGCAAAAGGGAATTTAAGGATATTGCAAAAAGGAATCTTTATGTAGTGAGAGGAGGATCTATGTTTGCTACTTGGATTTTCCCAAAAGAAAAGTCCACTTTTCCTCCCCTGATGACTGGGGTAGTTTTACACCCTGGAGCAATTTGTTCACTGAAGTTAGGCTCCTATCTTCTCAAAGAGATTGGAAAGTAGGAGACAATCCTTAACATGATGGCTCCCAGGTCTTCTCAAAAGACATTCTTGGGTTATAAAATGAAAGGGAGGATTTTAAAAAAGATTTACATCACACAGAGTATTTGTGGAGAGCAATAAGCTCTGATCATTGGCTGATCCTGTGGCATTGGCAAAAGTCAACCTGGGAAACATTCCTGGCCAGAAGAGGATATTATCAGCCTTGACTCTTGACTCTGATGCTAACAGACATCCCAGGAACAATGTGTTTCCTGGGTGCAAGAGAATGTTCCTAGCACTGAGACAACAGGATAGTTTGCAAAAACTGTTTCTAGCTCTGTAACTTTTTAGTGCACAAAGAATCCTCTGACAATTTGCAAGCCTTTAAACATTTTACAATGCCCGTATATTTTAACTTCCTGATTATGAGACCCTATATAATAAAATTGCAGAGCTAGTTCTGGGTCATTGTTGCTTCATTAGAGTACAGTATCCCACCTGCCCCCCACTTTACTTGATAATGTCTCTGTGTTTTTTTTGTCTCTGTGTTTTACTCCAAATCCAGTCACCCCTACTCAAGAATCCTTGTGATGCTGCATGGGTCATGGCAAGAAATAACTTGTAATTACATGTTTTCTAAAGAAATGTTCTGAGAAAAGGGAGGTTAGGGACCTAAGCTCAGGCAGAAATCTGTCTAAAACTTAGTTGAGTTGAGGGCAACATTGAAATCATTTTGGCCAATCCCGTCTCTTTGTACTCTAGTTTTTTAAACATGAGTTTCCAGAATATGCTGGATTTTCTGTATTCATAATATCCTCCAATGGCCTCCAAATTTACATCAAATTATTTGCAGAAACTTGTTATGACATTTAGTATACTTGTCACTTACCTCAATCTATTTGTTTTTGTATACCTTATTCTTCAAGCAAATAGAACTTACTGATGCTCTCAAAAGAATTTTCCCAACTCTGAGAATTTTCACATGCTCTTCTCTCCACAGAGAATGCTTTACTTTGAGTCTTTCAAAATTGTGGCTCGTACTTCAATGTGTGTCCCTCCTAAATAATTTGCTATTTCTGCTCAATGGTCATGCTTTCTTCCCCTCTCACTATCAACACCTTAAGTAGCTGGTTTACTCCTTTTATTTAGTTGCTTTTATACTTACTTGCTTCATTGTTCTGCTTAAGTGTAAGCTCCTTGAAGGCCAGAACAGTGCCTCACCTGCTTTTGTGCTATTGAGCTCTAAGCCACTAACAGAATGCCTTGAGTGCATTTCCAAACTAGGAGCATAGTTCGTGTTCATTGAATTGTATTGAATGCAATTGCAAAGTAGAGGAGAAAAAAAATGGTACTATAGTAAGCCCCAGAATATCAGTCCTTTAACAACAAAAGTCCTTCACACAAATCCAAGGCATGGTATCTTATTGTCCTGCACAGTTTCACCCTGGGCTGCAATTCTGCTCCTCTATGATGCCATGAACCTCAACCCAGCCTATGTGGTCAGGGTGGCAAGAGGAGAGAGACAGTGGAAGATCAGACAGGGATTTCTTTTTATGCTCTGGCCAGTATTTCACTTTCACTTACCTCCTCTTCATGAGCCCCTAAGTCATCTCAGACAAGCTATAAGAACGTCTCAAAAATGTGCTCTTCTTCCATGCCAAGAAGGAGGCAATAAATATTGAGCATCAGGCCAATTATTTCTAATCTTTTAGGTTCCTGTCTATAGGGACCGTGACACTTGAGTTACACTCAGCTTTTCAAATTTTATCAAGCAGGATTGACATTCTTTGTCTGCAGAGGTTCCAGCTAGCAAATATCTTAAGTATCAGCACCAGGTAGTGCCTGTGATCTCTGTGTGATTGCATTATCTCTGCCAATGTAGTGAGAAAGCAGCCACAGGCAATACATTACTATTGGGTATGTCTTGGCAAAATAAACTGTTATTTATTTACAAAATTGGATGGAAGGTTGAATTTGCCCCATGGGCAGTAATTGGTTGAGTTCTCCTAGGAAACCCTGAATTTCTGATATTTCTCTATTCTATTTATTTTTGCTTGGAAACCAATAAATTATTTCATTACCTTACCTCTTTTCTGTCAAGCTTGGACATTGTATGCCTCTATTTCTCTTACGTTTTCTATCTTCTTTCCTTGGAGTGAATATTCTCTCTGCACACTCTATCCACACTGCATCGGATAATATTTATCATCACAGAACTCCAGCTTTTCAGATTCTGCTGTTCGTTTTCTGACCACCGAACACTAAACTAAAACCATGAACTTTGAGTTCTATTATGGCAGCACCTACCTAAACATCTCATTATTTTTACAACTGAAAATAGATTCGTTTGTCATCAAAACAAAGATCAAAATCTTGGTGCTTACCACAATGAAAGTTTCTCAATGCAAGGTAATGTTTAAATTTTTAATTGGAACATACATCTAGCAGAGAAACAGACAGCTTTCCTGTGACTTAGAAACTCAGACTGTTTTCATTACTTTTATCTTCATTTGTTCTATTGCTTCATTGTTCTCTTGAAAATACATCAGTTATTTTTTCCCTTACATTCTGTTGGGCTTCATATTTTACATTTTATTTTATAATCTTCAAATGGAGAAATAGACACAGTACACTTTTAGCAACTGTTCCAATAATTTCCTTCTTAACAAAAAGTTTAGAAGCTCAATGCAGTCAGGCATTGAGCCCTGTTGGTGGAACGGCTTTCCAGTCTCTCCTTGCCTGTAAGGACCTTGACACTTGAGTTGTAGGCCAGTTGTTATGGTTTAGATATTAGGTGTTCCCCGAAAAACTCATGTGTGATACAATGCAAGAAAATTCAGAGGTGAAACGATTGGGTTATGAGAGTCTTAACTAATGAGTGCCTTAATCCCCTGTGTGCAGGTAGCGTGTGGCTGGAGGAGGTGGGTCATGGAGGCATGACTTTGAAGTTTGCACTTTCTCCTTGGGGAGAGGAGAAGTCTCTCTCTCTTTGCTTTCAGGCACCAACTTCCCAGCTGCTTTCTCCCACTCTACTTTTCCACCATGATGTTCTGCCTCTTCTCAGGATCTGAGCAATGCAGCCAGCTGTCTATAGACCGAGACCTCCGAAACAGGGACAAATAAACATTCCCTCCCCTAAAATCGTTCTTGTCAGGTCTCTTGGTCACAACCACAAGACAGCTGACAGAAACACCAGTCATCTTAGTGAATGCTCTTCACTGTTTTTTGTTCGTTTGTTTGTTTTTAATTTCTATCTTCTTGATTGAATGCAGGCAATGCAGGGCCTGCGCTTAGCCCCGCATCCTCCTGCCCCCAGAGGCTGCACTCATTCCTCCCTGAGCACAAGCTGCCTTCTTCCTCTTCTACACATTCATCACAGGAAACAAACAGGTAAACCATGTTTGTAAGTAATTCCTATTAAGAAAGTCAAGTCATAAATAAAGAATATGTTGAAAATAAAACATTTGTTATAAAAGTGCTTTAATGTGATTATTACATATATAATGTAAAAAGTAAATAATTATCTTCTTTCCATCATGCAGCACTGCCATAATTAGTGTGCTTAGTCCTTATTCTTTTCCACAGACAACAAATTAGTTCAATTAATTATTAGTAGTAATAATAGTAAAAATTTTCTGTATACAAACCAAGATCATTCACATTTGCTATTTTTACATCTTATTTTTAACTGAATAATGCATATTTTTCCATAGAGACTTATTATGTCTCAGTATTCAACAGGTTATGTAGTTATGTAGTTTTCTATGGTATGGATGGATTATAGTTTCCTGCTTTATTTTTCAGATGTTTGGTACCACTTTTATTGCTTCCAATTCATCTAATTTTTTTTTAAAAAATGATATTTCAATATTTAATGTTATACCTGTTTTTTTTTCCATGAACATTAGTCTATTTTTTTTCACTGAATTTGATGTGGCTATAAATAAAAACATGAAGTAGCACCAACTACCTAGCATAACTGTTATTAAGGAATTTCCTTAAATATATAATTCTAAAGCACATAAGTAAAATTGGTAAATACACTTATATTTTGTATATTTGGTATAAGCTTTATCTGAGATAAGATCAACCTATAATTCAAAACTATGTTTATAGTGAATAGTAAATTTTTAAACCCATATAATCATTGAATATACTACTTGTTTAAATGGCTATTACAGAAAAGCCTTAATTTTTTTCTTCTTTTTGATGAAGTTTTCCAAAGGAAAACATATAGAATTGAACAAGTTATTCTCTTGGGGTGTAGATGCAATAGTTTGGATCTTGAATGTCTTCAAAGGCCCATGTGTTAAAGGCTTGGCCGGTCCATGGTCCTCTTGGGAGGGTGGTAGGACCTTCAGGAGGGTTTAATGGATGAAAGGTTATGGGAACATGGCCTTGAGGGTTACTGAGACTCTGGCCTGTTCCTGATTCTCTCTTTAGTTTCTGCTCACCATGAAGTGAACAAACAGACCTCCTCTACTATATGCTTCTACCATAATGTACTATGCTGCCACAG